GCATCAGTCTCTCCTTTTGCAGCTCTGGAGAACACAGGAGAGCCTTCTCTTTTCCTTTTTCTCAGGTGCTAGGGAGCATAAAATGTTTGATACCCAGAAGGTTGATCTGGGCTGAAACAATTTCCAAGAATGACTGTGCTTGATATTGTCTCCCTGATAACCAGACATATAGCAAGTAAGAAAATACAGAGCAAAACCACAATCCCTTCTGCTGTTCTTGTAGAAGTGAAAGGGTTGGAAATAGTATATTTTTTTGTAATGTTCGCATTTGGGGAGATAAGTACTTCAGATTTGTATAGAAAGGTGAACAATCAGCTGGACATATTTACAGCAGTACAGTTTCCAAAGTGATAGTGCAAAGTGAGGTGGATGCATGAAGATGTTTTGAGGTACGATAATTTTAAATGATCTGAATTTTGTCAGTGTTTCAAGTCATTACACCCTCGGTGATTTGAGCTTTAATTTATGTGAAGAGCAGAGCTTGGATTCCGGATTTGTTTTCTTTTCTCTTAGATGTAACAGGAAATGATGTTAAATATCTCAGACTTTCACAGAATTGAGTTTTCAAAGTCAGTATAAGTAATTTTGTTTCTTTGTTCAAGTCAGATTCCATCCTGTCTTATGGTTGCTTCCCTTGAAGAAGTTTGAAAAGATGAAGATGAGTTGTTCCTAAAATGTTGCTGATTTTGAATGTTTAATCCTCTATGAAAATGCTGTGAAAATGTTTATTTCTACCCTTTCTCTTCCTCCCAGTTTTCTTTTCAAGACATTCAGGTAACACAGCCGTCTCTCTAAAAAGACTTTCAAATAGCCACTCTACTTTCAGTTCCTTTTTTAACAGGAAGGAAAACAAACAAATTGAAATTGCTCCGTGTAAAAAAGCAAGTTCTACCATGTTCTAGACATTGCTATTGTTACCATTGCCAGCTTGGGGTAGGAAAAACACTTGAACCTTGATGTAAAACATTTGATTACCTCAGGCATATTTTACATATTTTACACCATTCCAGCCACCCTCATAAAACTGAAGGAAAACATAAATTGCTTGGAGTATAACTATTTTGATGTCTTACTCAAAATATTTGCTGTAATCTTCAGGCTTTCGCAACGTCTTTATCTTTAAACATGCTTTTCTTAGCTAAAATTGATCTTTTCAGGAGTGTTAAATACGTATGTAAATTGTTTTTTATCTGCACTGTAGCTCTGTGTGGTTTTGATGGTTGAGATAATGTTTTACCTAATTTTTTTTTTTTTTTTCCAAGTTCTGACCTATCTAAGAACGTCTTACTGAATGGCACATGGTTTGATGCACAATGCTTTTTTATATGAAGCACTGAAACTGTGGATATGCAACTTCACATGCGTGTTAGAGGTTCCCCACACCTCTCTGTACATTAAATAATCACTGCACTTTTGCAGGGGACTGAAAACAGGACAGGAGAATGTATCTTTCTGTTTTCTTTTCAGTTGATCAACTTTTCTGGAAACCGTGATGAATTGCTCACCAGTTCAGACAACGCACCCTTTTATTTCCCCTGATTCAGACAGCAACAGGAAGGCAGGAAAGCAGGTTGCCACATGGGGCTTGGAAGAACTGACTGTCTTGCTAGGGTGCGGCTGGATATCAGACCTCAGGTTGCTCTCTAAGGCAAAACAGGTATTTGTCCAACCCTACGGGTTGCAGTGTCAGTCTGACAGCTTGCCTGCAGGCAGCTTTCTCACTTCTTTAACCACCTCCTGACCTGCCTGAATGAGTGAGTGTCTGGGAAAGTTTTGATGATCCACGTAACCCTGAGGCTTGGGAGAAGCCATCTCCAAGAGACAAGAGACAATACTATCATTTCCTTCTGCGATGTGTGTGAAAAACATGACATCTCCTTAAGTAGTGAATACAATCTGCTTCTCACCACGAAATACGTAATCCAAACAGATGGATTTCCTGTCTTCACGCAATTGGAAAACACTGTAGAAAATGTTCAGCATGCTGTATATGGCTCTTCTTCCGTGCTGAAGTTCTTCCTAGCAGTGTGGTTTTTTTCTGCCCAGAAATTGCCACTTACAGTAAGATGTCAGTAAACTAACTAAATTCCTGAGAAATCCTCTTCTAGTCAAACCCTGCTATTGTACGAGCTTTCAGAGACATGCTTTTGGTTTTCCTGAAAAGAAACAGCAAAGTCATGGGAGAATTCTGATTATTTTCCCATGTAACTGAAATAAATGAAATAACTTTGTGTTCTTGAGAGTTAATGTAATATTGCAAACTTTTGAAGACTGCTGAAAGTAAACAAAATTAAAATGGAACACTCAACTTAAAGAAGTTGACTGACAAAGCAGTATTTTTTTTTTATTTTTATTTTTATTTTTTTTAGTGTTACCTGCTCATCACACATTGCATGGTTGACCTCTTACCACAAGTGAGGACAGCTCTTGCCAGAAATGGAACCAGAAGAATCTCGGTACAAAATAAGAAATCTGTCTAGAGGTAAGAATCCCTCTTCCCTCAGTTGTCTGAGGAGATCTCTATCCCCACTTGAAGCTGAACAGTAGCATTTCTCTTTCCAGTCTGAAATGAATCAGTTACCTTCTGATTGAATTTGCAGCATAAAGGCTTTTTGCTAGACTATGAAAGGTTAAAAGCTTCAAGGGTTCTGCCTGAGACCCAGTGAAGTGTCCTGGTGTGATCTGGGAGTGGCTGTACGTGTACATGAAAGCAAGAGTTTTATCACCTAAAAAAATTACACTTAGTTGCTCAGTGGTCAGGTATAACATGTATGTACATTCTTCAGAGGGGAAAATAATTGTTGGCAAACAACTTCAAGTTTAGCACAGTTTATACTTCCTCACAAGGTTTATTTTACGTATGCATAGAAGATTGAACCAAACCCCATCACAGGCAATGCAAGGATTATCTCTTAGCATAATGAGACGCTGGAAAGATTCACCCTTTGTATGACTGGTTGCAAACACTTCAGCCAACCCCTATTGATGCAGATGACAAGTTTGTTCCATTGCTGAAGCTATCTTTGATCTCATATTTTCACATTATCCATGAACGAGGGGCTAATTAATAGGCACTATTTGCAGTTATTTGTAGCCTGATGAGAACTGCAGATGATGCAAAAAATGATGTTATGCGTGCAAGAATGTAGCAGCAAATAACAATTGTAGCATCAGCACTGAACAGATTAGCATGTTAAAGTTACACCATTTAAAGTCATCTCTTGAGAACATCTGGTTCAGTTTCCTCTAGAAGTGAGATCCTAAGACTATTAGTGAACTTGTGCTAACCCCTGGGAAAACTTTTACTAGCTAAACATGTTATGCACATTTAGGACTCATTCCAGGAAGGAGTTGTGAAATTTTTGTAGTACCTGATAGTACTCTTATCACTAAGCCAGGCTTTTGAATCCTATGCAGCAGTTGAGAACAACTGAGCCTGTTGTTGATTAAGTTAGACTTAGAACCACTTATTCCTAAGAGGCATCCCTGCAGTGGCCAAATGGTGATGTTTGTTTTTAATAAACTGAGTTGAAAGGACAAATCACGAATGTCAAATCCACTGGCATTATGATTCACAGCTGTTTTTCCACTTTCCCTGAAGGGAGCAGTCCCTTTGGAAGTGGTCTTGTCTTTGCTTTTAAAATTGTTAAATGTATGCCTGGGCACATGATGGGGATGTTATATAGCAAACCTCAAATTCTCCATAGATTCTAAAATAGTGAAAGCAGAAGACTGGAAACAAAGTTTTGTGCTTTTGTGAATGAGGTATGTGAGTAAATGTAGTTCTCTGATAATGAGTACGGTATGCAATCCACCAAACTCATGAAAGTTTATTGAAGAACTGTTGTAAGTAGATTTTCCAGAATAAATATTTACCAAATTCTTACAAATTCAATGAAAAGGCAATCCAGTTATATCGCATCTCTGTTCCTCAGAGAAATATTGGAAATCAATATTTAAATAGAAATGTCTCCTAGCAGCTCAGATTTTAAATAAAAAAGTGATGAAATTCTTCACTAAGTCCATGGAAACCATCAGTAATTTGGAAAGACAGAGTGTTTACTTATAACACGCATGCTCTCTGGAAGAGTAATAGCTTCCATCTTTCAGAAGCTGAAGACTTGGTGGATGCAATTATTTAGTGTCAGGTGTTCAGAATGAGACTTGCTTCTTTAGACTCCTTTTTCTAAAACATTCCTTTTGACATTTGCTATATCTGTGGAAGGGAAATTTTGCTGTCCTCCCACTCTTGGAGCCCATGGGTTGGCTAGGGCTCTACCCAACGTGCCAAATGTGTAATGTCCTGTACAGGGCAGAAATTGAAGCTATGAGTGAGTTCCCTCATAGAAGTGAGCACAATTTTTGAAGGCAGGTTCTCAGGCAGTAATCAAGCATTGCAATGTGCTCATCCCACCCACAGGGGCCTATTGGCAAAAAGGCATCATCTTTCTTATGTGATCCCAACTCATGAGCTTTAGGTTTTTGTTAGTTTGAAAAGTTTGATTAAGGCCACTTCCCAGTAGTAAATCAGTGTAATAAATGGAGGTTTTAGCGCTTTGTACCGGGACAGGACAGAGTAACAGTGAACAAGCTTCAAGAAATATAAGATTTGTGTGATTGCCGCTTTCCTGGAATGGATAGAAGTGAAATCATAACCAGCAGACACCCACCCATAACCAGCACCCACCTAGAGTGTGGGATGTGGAACGCTGTGGACTTCAGCTGCTTCTATGTAAAAGACAAAGGAAGACCTGAATATGAGAGGAGATCTAAATCACCTAACTAATGAGCTAAAAATTTTTCTATAGGGAATTAAGCTTTTTCTGTGGCTCTTCTTTATATGTTCTAGTGTGTGTCCTTTAAGAGAGTTAGTAGTTGTTATCAAGAGCAAGATACTACACTGGATAAGAAGCTCTGATTGCAGTTTCAGTATGAGGAAGATTTCAGAAGAGCCACGAGACAGGGCTACGTAAATTACTGGTAATTTAAGGCTAGTGAGTGTTAAAGTACCTTCTTTGTGCCCTTCCCAAAGAGAATCTGTAAATCACAAAGGAAGAGAGCACAACAGATCATAAGTGAATAAGCTTAAAAACAGTGGGTAGATCTACGCTGTAAAACTGAACTCAAGGTAAAAATCGATTATTTGTTATAGAAGTACTTATTCAGGTAAGCTGAGTGCTCTTCAGAACACATGCATGGCAACTGGAACAAAACTTAGGATGAAATAGAAGTAAATGTTTTCAGCCAACAATGATTGTCTGTAGGAGAAAAGATACATGCACATTTTTTGCAGGGAGCAAAAATCTTTACAAATTCTTTCCGTTCTTGATAATGTCAGTCCTGTTTGTCTAAAATTGATATTTCTAGTTATGTATTCTCTGAAGTACATCTTGAGCTCAAACGCATCATGCCAAAGTGCTTTGCTGAGTCCAGATGTAAATGAAAAGCTTGATAGAATAAACTATACGTAACTTCCTTACAATAAACTTCATTTGGAAACTCATGCTTGAATGAATGATCCAGTTTTCCATAAACATTCTCTCACATTTCTAAGTTGCCTGGAAAGTGAAATAACTACTGTAAAGCGACAAAATTTTGTAGCTTAAGTATTCCACATCTGGCATGTTGTAGTCACTAGTTATCTCTACTAATTAACTGTGTGTTTCGTGCTGGATTTCAGTGTAGCAAATGACTCACTGCACTTGAGATGCTTTGGCTCTCAGCTCTGAGGAGGCTGAGCTCTTCTGCAGTGAAATGTAAGTGCATTTCTTGGAAAAGGTGGCACTGGGGATGGATTTGTGAATGACACCTCTCCCCTTGTAAAAGAGGCCAAGATGCCCCTATGAAAACAGAGCTTTTAGACATGCGGGAAATGCCCTGCGGCTGGTACAATTGATTGTGTCACTTTGAATGATCAGAGGAAGTCATTCGTGGCATAGTTTTATAGGTACGGTCTTTTAAAAATAGTGCTGTTTTCCATAGATGCCTTTTGGGGTTCCCAGACAGAATATCTTGACTACTTATGATCTTAATTGATTTTATAAAGAAGCATGAAATCAGATAGACTTTGAGATAGAGTTGAGAGAATCTGGTGTCTGATCTGATTAAGATCTATGTCGTTTTCTGCTTTTTAGAGCCCAGCAGATGCTTCCGAATAGTCGATAGATTTAGTTTAGCTGTTGTAGATACCATTGACAGGTTTTACTTGGCGATACTCTAGCTACAGCTCAGTCATAGAAATTTCTGTGCAGTACTGACGCAGCTCATTTATATCATGGAGATAAAAATGGGGCCACAAGAATCCTTCAGTAGGCGCTCTAAATTTTGCTCACAGAAATATGTTCTTTGAGTTGAAATGCAGGATTCATTTCATCCTTACGGTACACACATCAGAGTACTTTGTACAAACAAGGAAATATAATGGAAAAAAAACAAACTGGGCACTAATGCAGAAGAGGACAGTAGGCATCAGTAAACTCCCAAATTTATTTAGATTTTATATCATTTTGTAGCACAGTAGAGACAAAGAATTCAAGATACCCATCTCTTCAAACGTTTTTGTTCTAGGATAATGGTTTTTTGTTTTGTTTTTTCTTTTTGAGATGACAAAGTTTCTTCTTTACTTTGTGGGAATTATTTTGCATCCGCCTGGTGCCCCTTATGTTTGCACATTCAGGATGTAATTGAGAAATTAAAGTATTTCTTGGATCTATAGGGCAATATAGAAAAATCTCATCTCCAGGAAATTGCAGTTATATGGCTGAGTAGTAGCCTGGGTGGAGAAATGTTCTTTACTTTGAAGCATAAGCAGAAAGTGTTAATAAGAGATTATCTAGAAGAACAGTAATTATACCCACCTGATGCACACAGCCAAAATCTCAGTCTGAAGGGGCTATTGTGAGAGTTAATAGGATTTGGAATTAACTTGCACGATACAGTCTGGTATTTGAATGCAGAGCTTTGCTGATATGACTTTCTCATATTTCAAATTTCATTCTGTTTAGGAATAAAAGTCCTCAAAAATCAATAATTTAAATAGAAATATATTCCATCTCAGGATCTATTAGTATGTCAAAGTTGATAAAGCGCATTCATAAATTGATCTGAATTACTGAAACCATAGATGAATCTAGAATGTCCTGGGTTGGAAGGGACCTCAAAAATAAGCTAGCCCCAGATATCTCAAAGCACTTTGTAACTTCAGTATTTACCCAGATTTTCTGTAAATGCATCAGAGGGGTAGGCGAGGGGAAAAGGAGTATTTTTTAAAAAATACCTTTTTAAGATGTTTACTGAAATAACTTTCTCATGAATCACCTGCTTGTGCAACTCCCATACGCCAAGCAGTTTAGGCAGTGAGAAACTGGTAATGTTTTACTTGGATGAGAGCAGATATCAACAGGGAGTGGTTGTCTCCTGTCTCCTATCTCCTTTTTTTTTTTTTTTTTTTTTTTTTAACTGCCAAAAAACTGGATAATGAGGGTCTATTCAGCAAAATGAAATACACTGATTTATGCACAAGCCATGTTGAAGCGATAGATAGATTTTTTTGAGTGTATCTGTATTAATACAGATCTTTTACAGTGTAACCTGTTTTCCTGGAAAAAAAAATGTTGCTGAAAATGAGTTTTTATTTTAAATAAGCCCAGAAGAAAGCTCTTATTTAAGACACATTTAGTCCTTTTTTGAAATCTTTTTAGCAAAGCTTTGAGTATTGAATATTATTAATGCTTCTCGGCAATACGACATTACTTTTCTCTGTGGCGTTATTGTCTTTAAAATTTACAGCTAAGAAGCAGTATGAGGTGTTTTAAATTCCTAGTCAGGTTAGGAAATGGAGAAAAATAATTACAGATTAAATACAGAAACTTAAATGAATATACTTGGGAAGGCAGCTCTGAGAAAGTGGTTAAAGAGAGCATTTTGAGGAAAAAATTTTTTACCCAATCAAGTATGGGTGCAAAAATTAATTAAAAGAATTTCCAACATGTTAATATGCTTTCAGATAGAATAAACTTAGAGCCAGTTTATCCTTCATTTGCATCTGGGCTTCTAAAGCAAACTGAAGATTTGCCCATTCATGAACAAGAACATGCCATTAATGCTTGGATACATACATATTCTCTTGGTTGCAGCAGCCCAATTGCTATGCTAGGATACCTGACATCTTACTTCTGGCTTCCAGTGGTCACAGACCCTGTGATACGTAAGGTGTCGTGTCTTTTGCAAACAGAATCACTGGAGTTGGAAAGGACTCTTAGAGCTCATCTATTCCAACTCCCAAATAGTCCCTCCTAAGCAGTAGCATTATTTTAAGCAGCATAAGGTGGCAGACACTTTGCACTGGGAAAAGCAAGCGCTGTCTCTGTAACTCATTTTCTCTCTGCTTTTCACAGGATAAGTAAATGTTGGCCATTATTGATAGCCAGTCATGGTGAGGTCATCACGGATCCATTCTGTTCAGATAAGTTATGCTGCTTTGTTGTCACATTCTGACCTACGGGTGAGCACAAAGTAGCAGGTAAGTATAGTGCCATTTTAAGAACATAATACCATTTTATGCTTGGCTTTACAACTAGCACAGCATTAGCTTTATTAACAGACTTTCCTTGTTTTGTACACTAAGCAAGAATCCGGAGGGCTTAAAGTGTTGTGTAAATCTGTCAGATAATATATGCTAGCATGTTTCAGGAAGTAGAGGCTTAATACAGTGGTAACACTCCAAAGATCCAACTAGGTTTTATACCATTAATATTGAAAACATATGGAGACAGACACTTTTTTGCTTTTTAACAAAATAAAATCTGTTCTTAAAAGTGATATAAAAAAAACTACGCAGTAAACTCGTAGCCAGGAAATGTTCATTTCTTTGTATGAATACTTTGCTTTCCATATAATATGAAAGATGGGGTTCTCACATCCAGGAATTTTGATTTCACACTTTTCTATAGCTGTCGGCTTTCCTTTTCTCAAAACCTGTGGAGGAAGACTCATCAGTGCTTCTTTAAACCTCCGTTACTCAATAAATTTGTTCATAAGTGTGAGCACACAAGGCAAAACATATTGTATGAAACTAAATCTACACACTGGGCTAAGGTTGTCTACTTCTGTTAACTCTGATATCTTGAAGTCAATTTAGTTTTCTGGAGATGTTTTTATAGCAGCATCTGTAAGGATAAAGTTATTAGTTTTCTGGAACTCCAGTTGATAAGTACCAAGTTACCACGTGTAAATAAAAATATTTTATAATCATGAAAACAAATTTTAAAAGCTGAAAAGCTACCCTGTATTTGAGTAGACACTGTAGTACCTTACTCTTCTAGCAAGCCAAATGTTAAACCAGGGAATTATGGCTGTAATTGTTCCACCGAAGAAAGACGGGGATTGCCTTTATCATCTCCTCTTCTTTGCCTTTAAAAGCTCCTTTCAGTTGTGCCTGAGATTCCTTCTGCCTACAGCCTTTTTGTGAGAATGTATGACATCACTAGGAAATGATATAACCAGAGGCAATTCATGGTTTTTCAACTCGTGTTTCTTTCCTCTCCAGCTGCGACCCTACCAATTAGATGGAGGTAGAGCTGCTGGGGGTATCAGATAGAAGGATTAAGAAACCCCGTGGAGAAAGCCAGCAATTATCCATGAGTGTCACAAAGACAGAGGTGATCAGAGGTGAGGAAATGCTCGCGTAAGGTCTGTAGAAATCACTATAAGGGGCAAACCTGTCAAGACTAATAATTAATATTAGTAATAAAATGTGCAGTTACAGTTGGTTAATGATGAAATAGTGACACCAAATTTAACAAAATGTTTATGTAGTTAATCCTTTGATGTATAGTTTGTGAAGTGCTATAATGTTCCTCACGATGTCAAGCCTTCAAGAAGACCGCTTAAACGAAATAAAAACAAGTTTGTACAAGGATAAAGTTACAGTTGTTTTGCATGATGCCATGCCATGTTTCTGTTAAACCAAGAGAGGATCTGGGAGGTCTGAAGCGCATTTGAAAGCACTCAAAAGTACATTGAAACAAAAAGCAGGGAGAAGATGCAGCTGCATCTCAGGTAACATATCCCAGAGCTGTTTGGATCTACATGCCTGTTGTTCTGGGACTCCAGCTCTGAAAGACAGTGCCTGGGAGCAAAATGGGTCTAGGGCCTTCTGTCTCAGCTCTGAGGGCGGACAAAGCCAGAGATCATCTCTGGCAGGCAAGATAAATGCTGGAGATAGGATGTGGATCATCGCTTGTTTTCCTTGTCCAAGGTATGTCTCAGAGAAGCCCTGTTCAAGCTAGAAGGACAGATTGGAATTAGGTTCTCTATAAATAGTGTGCTGTCTATGTTTTTCTTTTCTTGCTTTCTTTCATACTCAATAATTCCAAGTTTAAACTTTGACTTTAATGAATCAACATGATGCTTTTTGTTTTATTCTTGTCTCCAAAGCCAAGCCAGGTGACTCATGGGTTAAGCTCCTTGGGCTCCAGGGCATGTATTTCCCACACTGTGGAAAAGAAGCTTTAGGGACTCACCAGTATTTTTCTGTAGTGTAAAACATCTCCCAGCAGGCACTCAGCCCTGGAATAAGATTTCTGGTCACTGGGAGGCTGAACCCTCCTGGGGGAGGACTGTTGGAACTCATTCATTAGTCTCCAGAGCAGCCTTTTCTGACCACGTGTTTCTGGTAGGAACTGCTTCTGTGGAGGGAACGAAACACAAGCTGCAGCCAAGAGCAGAGAGTGGAAGCAGAATTAAAAGGACCTGCAGCAAGTCCGTGTCCTGCAGGCTGTGGTATGTGAATATCCATTAAAAAGGAGACCTGGATAAACGGTTTAAAAAAAAAAAAAAAAAGAAAGAGCAAATGTGTGAGCAGCTCACATTATTCACATAGTAGAAGCTGGTGATGCTGTGAGGCACTGTTGACTCTCTGTTTCCTGAGAGGCATTCCCACCACAGGTGCAGAACCCAGGCAGGATTAGCAGGATGCCAATGCAAGAACACGTTTCATCACCATATGCTGTTGCTGGGAACTAGAGAGCCTGAAACATTCTGGTCAACTCTCCTTTTAGCAAATCTTGTCACTTGTCACTCAAATTTTTTGGTTGCTTACAGAGTTTTGGTCGCACCAGACTATATCCTCAGCTATCATCAGTGTGGTTAAGTACCATTTGGCCGATGAAAATATTGAGCTTACAGATATATAGGAATATTTCAAGGGCCAATGTTCTCAGGTACGAGGGAGATATAGGGCCTTTTAAAAGAAATACATATGAAACTCTAAATAAAAGCCTTTTGGCAGATTCATGTCAGAGGCAGTTGCTCTTCGAAGAGTAGCAATAAAAGACATACAAAGAGGTTACATTCCAAATGTGAGAAGGATTCATCTACTTTTGTTTGATCTGCTACTTTCTCCTCTGTCCTTCAAGTTCTTTGCCACACCACTGCTCACCTCAGGTTTCTTTACTGTAATCATACAAATTGCTTTGCATTCTACATGTTTTCCTTATGAGTGTTCTTCTGTAACTGCATTCTTTTCTATCTTTGGATCTCCAGTGCAACTGATCATTTATCTACTTTTTTTCACTCCTTCCTCCCCTTTGTCTGAGAGCCTTTCTCTGTCTAGTTCTTAAAAGGCTTGGCCTTCTGGCAGCGCTGATGCTTCAGTTTTTTCTAGTTATGTTTTGAGGAGCTGTGACTCTCCTCCAAAGAATTCAGCTGTCCATGGTCCAAAATCTAGTTTTGATACTGCACAGCTGCAGAATTTTGGCAGAATTGTAAGAAAGATGTTTAACTGTGAAAAAGTACAAAGATGTGAGCCGTTTAAGATAAGAAAAACCGGAGGAAGAGGCAAGATTAGCACAGCCATTTTTTTTAGCCTAACCTATTCCTTTCCTTCTGTAGTGTCAGCTCACCCAGACCCTCCTCCCCCTGCACTTTCTGTGTGAAACAGAATTGGAGCAGATCTCATTAGTAATAGACTGGAGAAATGTTTGCTGGTTTAGGTGTGGAAAAAAGTGAGCTGAGAGAAAAAGTTAGAAAAAAAAAGGACAAGTACTCTTGAAGTAAGAGCTAACAGTGATTTCTGTCCAAAAATATTTCTCATCAGCAATGTGAATAAAAGAGTATGGTTGTGTTTTGAACACAGGTGTGAAGATCAGTGCCGTTGACCAACCTCTGCTCTCACTACCCTAAAACTTACACAAGAAGCTTGTGATAGAATAGTAAATCATGATTCCATGAGGTAAACAGAGGAGTGATTTTTACTCTAGTCTTGACGACTACGGGAAGAACTGACAGGAGAAAAAAACACTGAATTTGTCGAACAGAGGCTTAGTGTCTCTCCTGCATCTTGCACCAAATCGCAATTTACCGCTATTTGATTTAACTGGATTGAGATGGGCGTAGGGATGTTTCAGTTAATTTAGGTTTTGTTTGTTTGTTTTAGTAACAATGAAAAAGTCACGGCAATCTAACCTGCTGAGGTCTGGAATTTTTTTCCTCCTGGGAATATAATGCTACACCATTGCTATGATGTTGTTTGAAGGTTCTTCATCTGTTTCTTTGACTGCTGTTTCTTGACAGAGATGCAATTATGAAGTTAATGGAGTAGTCAAGTGCTACACCGTTGAAAGTACCCAAGAACCTGCAAACAAATGCTGTCTGCCTAAGCAATCTGCATTATGTGAACAGCTCTGGTTCCTGTGGAATTTATGCTAAATTCTTCTTTTATTCTAGTTATAAAAGTGAATGATTGCAGTCCGTCCTGGAATGCTGATGATACACCCTTCTGACTGATGGAGCAGACAAGGGAGAACTGGCTCTGCTCCATCTACAAATTTTTGATTTCTCTTTGCTCTACTCATTTTTTTTTTTATTATTTTTATTTATTTATTTATTTATTTTCCTGCATCTAAATTTTGGGTAGTAGCAGAACTGTTGCTGAAGTATATCAGCCTCAAAGGTCTTGCTGCCAAATTATACCTCTGCCAAGGAAATATTTATTTTATGTTTTTTGGCAGGGGGGAGATGGAGAGTGGAGAGTTGTTTGGTTTTTTTTTCAGCATTTGGGAGTAAGAGAAGAAAAACATGTAGAAGACTCAGGAAAAGCTCAAAACAACTAAGAGAACTACTACACCAATGTTATCCTGTCTAGTTGCATTTCTTGAACTTAATTGTAGCAAAATGTATTTTGCAGCCTAACATGATGTCTTCTGTACACCTGCCTTCTGCTGAGCTGAGCTCTCAGATGAAGAGTTCGAAATTAGAGTTGCCAGAAGAAGCAACCGGTAAAGGGGCACTTAATTTCATCAATGAAAATTGTTCACTATATTAGGGAATGTTTTGTTTTTTTAATTAAAACGTTTTTTAAATCAAAATGTGTAGATGCACACAAAAGTAGGCAGTCCCAGAAGTTGTAGGCATGCAACCTGACCAGTTTAGAACTTAATTCAAAATTTTCATTAACATTTATTTATAAACACGTGATTTTAAATATATATATATAAAATTTAGAAGATATATGAACCTTGAAATAGTCCTTAAAGTTGCCCCTTGTAAGAGGCTATGTCTCACTACGAAAATATCCTTTCGTTCTTCTTTTTTAACATCTTATTTCATATGCTTCTCTCTCCTTTGCAGTTCTGAGCGTTGAGGAAAAGCCTATCTCCCTGAAGTCGCCTAGCACTGATTTCACACTCTGGCTATCCTGTATTTGCTGTAATGGGGGAAAAAAATAATTTTTTCAAGGTTTGTTTTTTTTTTGTTGTTTTTTTTTTTTGGTAAGTTATTCGTAGAAGAAGTGAAGCATTATCTCCTTTTCAGGGGATGTGCCCTTTTGTGTTTCTATTTCCATGAGAACCACGGGAAAGAAGCTCTTGTAATAGCTGCTCTTGCTTATGCTTGTAGGAATGGGAAGGAGGACCCCAGCTGGTAGCCCTGACACCTGCGTGCCATCCTCCTTTGAGATACTCAGCAAGTCTTTCCGTTTCTATGCGCTGTACTTCTCCCTCTAAACTGCAGCTAGTAACTTCGATCTTTTATAATTCCTGTACCGGTTTGCTCTGTCAGGCCTGAAATGCAGCCATGTGCGATTCAACCAAACCAGTGGCAGTTTTGGTGCTTGTACACTTTCTTGCTTTTGCTGCTCCCTACTCACATTAAGAGAGTGCACTCTGAAATATATCAGGAAGCCAGCTCAGAAAGCATACTGTTTGTTTTTTGTTTTGTTTTGTTTTGTTTTTCTTTTTCAGGGTTTGAATAGCACAGTGAGCACCACTAGGTTCACAAATTTCTGCAAAGAATAGACACCATACAAAATACTGAACTTTTGTCAGCATAGCTAGGCTCCTTGTTTAACATCTGAAGGCAGGTTTCATCTTAAATATTTTCTATTAGGGAAGTGGTTTTATGTTACACTTTTTTATGTTATTGAAGTGCTGGATTTTTAGTAATACCTATTTTGTTGATGAAGGTAGGTGCGCCCAAGTGCCTTCTATACCAGATGGAACAGGGATTACAGAAATTCATGTTGCATTACTGCAAGAGAAACTCGGAAATGAAAACCAGACAGTGACACAGAAGAGATTGCAGAACTGAAATTGCATAGTGAATGGAAGAACAGGATTTTGAGTAGCTCTTTATTTTTATCTCTTCTGAAAAAAAAAGTGACTTTAGCTATTAACTATGCTAATGTGGTTGAAGTGTGCTTTTATATGGCTAAAATTTAAAAATAAAATAAAATAAAATAAATAAAATAAGATTTATCTAAAAGAAGAAAAAGACATGGAGCTTTCCTCCCTGATCAGTACATACTTTCTATCAACTATCCTGTAGATACTGTGTGAGATTTATGCTGCTTATGCATGAGTTTGTGCATATAAATGTAATTTCTTTTTCCATATGGGAGCCTTTATGTGTAGAGTGCAGCAATAAGACAATGTATAATGATTTTAAACTGCAAGAGATTAGGCTTAGATTAGATGTTTCGAAGAAATTCCTGACTGTGAGAGCAGTAAGGCACTGGAACAGGAGCACAGAACAGAGAAGATATGACATCCCCATCCCTGGAAGCATTCGAGGTCAGACTGGATGCAGCTTTGAGCAGCCTGACATAGTGCAAGGTGCCCCTGCCCATGGCTGTTGGAGCTAGATGATTTAAATCATTCTGTGATTCTAAAATATTTCTTTCTTTTTCCCTTTTTCCAATTGAGTAGTATTGAATCTCATGAAGATGAAATCACAGAAGATCTTGTTGAAAGAAAGATGAGATATCCTGAGTTTGCTTTCATTTAATTTAAGCACTTGGTGTGAAAACCTGCCAAATTCTTCTGTCAAATTGTCACCCAAAGATACTAGTGATGGCTTACTTTGAGAGCAGAGATGAAATCCAAATTTTTTCTCACTTCAGGGCAAAATCATTAGGATGCATCTAATTCAGTTACAGCACACTGTTAATTTCATTTTCCGAGGTAAAAATCAACAATGTTGTCTGTATTTGCCACTAAGTCTTGAAGATATTCAAGACTGAAGACTCTAAGCAATATCTTAATTGAATGTATCATTTAACTGCCATTTTACTCTGGTTCCACCTTTATTTGAGGATATTTTTATGTGAAGACCAACTTAAAACGCAGAAATATTGTATCCAAGATGGATGAGGAGGTTGTTATATATTTGTGGGTTTTGCTTCACAACACATGTTGAGAAGTTCTGAAATTTATTGCGTATCTCATACCGTTAATTTTAACGGGAATCTGGATTTTAGTTCCCATTGTTAAGTTTGAGAATTGGCTGTGACGAAAGGGCTTGCAAAGCTAGAGTTGATGTATGGTCAGTGAAATACTATTTGCCAAGGCGTAGCTCAGGAAGGTCACTTTCGATGCTCTTTCATTACCATACCCTGCAACGTGCTGCATTTAGGACACGGCGGGCCATTACTCACAAGCACGCTGCACAGAGCAAGGCCAATGTTTCACTGCGTCTCCAGGGTGGTTGTAGTTGTGTTAGCTGGCGTACTGGATTCCCTGGAGCAGATGCATAACAGCGCAGAGCATTTTCTGCTAAGTGTTCTGGGCTGGGATGTCCAAGCAGTAGCACAGCAGTTGTCAAATGTGTATTCCTTCTGGGTATTCATAGCTGTACCTTTCTCTCTTCAAGGACAGAACTATTATTGCTATTATATTCATGTATATCCTTCCTTCCCTTGGTACGCAGAAATTGAAGACCTATAAGGACTTCCTTATTGCACGTATCTCTTTTTGAAACCATGTTTGAATTAGGAAAGCAATACAAGGACTGGATTTCTTTTTTAAAAGTCATTATCTAGAGCCCTTATCAGCACTGATACGGGACTCTGATGCATTAACCTTCAAGGATGAAATTCTCCAAGCCTGCTTTTTACACAAAACAATTTTGTTTTAAAACATTTGAAGTGTGAAAACGCTTCTGTTGTTTCTGTTTATAGAAACAAGTCACCTTTGACCAGAAATGGAAAAATTCAGTATGGAAGATAATGGTTCAGCAACAACAACAAAAAAATCTGTCACTGCCATGACATTGACAGCAAAATTTGTAACTTTTATGTGTTTTTTTTTTTGATCTTTTTCTTAAATTAAGCTGTTGGAGAAAAATTTTGATTGAATTGGTCCAGATTGAATCTAGTCATAAAGCAAAATGCATTTTTTTCTGTGCAGAGTTCTGCTATGATAAAATGTTTCTCAATCAAAATGAGCTAAAAGTGAAAATATTACAGCTTTGTCAAAAAGCTGGTAATATTTTACTTCACAAATTGATACTTTGCGTTGGTGCTGATATTGCTCTCCTGGAAGTTAGGGACTTCAGTGGCTGTGAAGACCATAAAATGTGACTGAAGATCCTTTGTCCTCACCTGAAGAACAAAAGATTGGGACTGGATTTTGGCACTGTTGTTCTTTTCTTGGAAAGGATTGCAGGAAGTGATAAAGCTGGCAGGAAAATTGGTGTCTGAGTTCTGGTAACCCGTTTCTGCTGGCAGAATGAGGAGATAGACACAGTACAACCTTGTGGGATAAGGGGAAGAAGGTTGGAAGAAAGAAATGAAAATTGTGCTGGGGCCCCTGTTCCAGCAGCGACCACTATCTTATTTACCTCCAGTTTCTCTCTCTGATTGGCAGCAGGCAATGGCTTCCATGGATTTGGCACAGGCAGAATAGGAAGAAAAGGAAAATGCATAATTAAATTTTGCAATTGGCTAATGCCATGTGCCCTCTGTTAGTGGGATAGAAAAGAGTCAAGTTTGTACTTCTTTACATTTTTTCTGTTTGGGTGGTCAGATGTGTCCTAGACAAGCACTAACACGTTGTTTTCTTCTTTATACCTTCTGTGCAAACAATGAGATGCATATTCTAATCTGTGGCTCAGTCTAAACCATGCAATTTCTTGAGAAGTTTTCCAAGCCCTGAGCTTCTAACATTCGTTCTTTAGTACGAGAAGGTGGCCAGGCCATGCTAATTCTTTCATTTTTCTTTGCAATTAAGATGTTTCTGGTGCCATGTGAAGTATGTCTGACTTCTCAGAAATGTCAGAATCACAGTAGGATGACTTTGATTGTTTACACTCTAGCTTATAACAGTCAGAAGATGAATTCCCAAATCCATCTGTGGCTATTTAAAACCTCTGGAAGAATAACCCGTAGAAAACATGGACTGCTGAATTAGTCAGTTCTGCTCATTGTTATATAATTCTTTTCTCATGACATATTCACCAAAACATGTTTCTTAACATGTCCTTGCACCATTCAGAAATGAACATGATTGCAAATTATCTCTTTGTTTTTGACAACATACCTTCCTCTTGTTTCAACAGCAAAACTAGAGGTGGTTTTGGATTATTTATTTATTCTGTGAAATGACTTTGAACCTCTTCACATTGCCTGTTTGCTGTCCACAGTGCAAGACAGATGAGCTTGATGCAGATACATCTCAAAGTTGGAGTGTACGATGCCTCTTGATCAACTTCTGAGCCAGCCTTTCTGCCTGGATCTTTACAGTCTATCTCTGTCCAGGGAATACAACAACAAAACTTTGCCATGAGAGAGCCTACAAGCTGGGAAGGTACCTCGCACGGAAGCAGCTGCCCTGAGGAGCACTCATGAGAATGCCTGCCCTGGGCATGGTAGGACTGCAAGATCTGAGATAAGGCTTCAACACCGTTGCTAACTGGAGAAATACTCTTTCCAACAGCTGCTCAATCCAGATTTCAGCATCCATTCCAGCTACTGATAATTTTATCCTCAGTATAGCTTTAATTAACTGTGTTGTACACCATAGTAGATCTACCTTGTTAAACTGCTGCTCTTTGTTTCAGTGGAAATGCTATAAGAGACAGATAAAATAATTTTGTTACGTGGTTACGAGGCTCTCAATTTGTTAAATTTGCCAGCTGCTGTGGGAGCCTATGGGATGGAAGGTATCATATAAATACAAAAAAGTGCTATTATTTACCTGAATGACTCTATTCTCTCCCCCTATCCGCCCTAACCCCCCTTTTTTAAATATACTTATTTTTTATATTTCTTTCCTGCATTTTGTTCTCTATTTGGATGGTTTCTTCAAGTCCCCAGGTGGAACTACAATCATAAGTTCTCTAAACTCAGGTATCAACAGCCCTCACATTTTTCTGACCTTTGTTAGGCAGTTATTTACCTGACCTGCTTTGCTTGTTATTCAATCTTTCTGTCTTCTGCAATTAATTCCAAGGCAATTTGAACTTCAAATGCTTTTCACTCAAGCTGAGTTTAAGCATGTAAATTTGGATCACTGTGCTTAGGGAGTCCAGTTTGTCTTCTTGCACTCAACAGATACACTGTTTTTCTCCATGTCCAAGGATTAATTACAAACAGCTGAAATAGAAATTCCTGAAGAAAGACTAATCCTGATGCGGATGCATGGAAGAGAGATATGAGGCAGCAGTCCAGTAAACCTCCAGCTTGAGGCTTAGTTGCATTTAAATGCCATAATTCCTGGAGCCAACTCAAACTATCAATCAGAATCCTGTCAGTCTAAACAAGTCTGAAGCTTGAAAATTTTGCTTTCTTTGGCATTTAATTTTCCCTTGGAATCCAAATCTCAGCTTTAGTTAGATTTTCTCATGCAAAAAGGGTTACATTCATGTCCAGCTTTGAGATGTATTGTGGTAGTGTTCTGATCTCTGAGAAGTTTGAGCTCCAGCTTGTAGACATAAGAATGAGCAGAGCCAGCCATTCTCAGAAGGGTCACTAGAACCATTTCACATGTCTCTCATCAGTTTACAAAGCATCACTTCCTTATTTCTTTAAGTAAGGACAAAGGAAATCCAGCTGTGGATGTTAGGGGGCTTAGCATTTCTTTTTAAAAGATATTGAAAAAATATTAGTGGTAAAATATACCATTGTTAAGTAACTATGGATCTAAGATTCCCAAACTTCAAAGACACTGTATAGTACTTATGAAACTATGTAGTTTTTCATCTGAAAGCCAGTGCTTCGGGCAAAGGTTGCAAGATTAGCAAAAAAAAAAAAAATCATAATTGATCAAATATCCACAATAGAACATAACGTAATTGTAAAGGCAAAAAAATTTATCAAACGGGTCACATCAACAAGGTAATAGAGATATCTAATGGACAAAGAAGGAACAAAAACAGATGCGTAGCTGTTAAGGCCTCTAAAATATGTGCCATGTGGTTGATTTGAGTGCAGAGTATACAAAGTGGTGTCAAGATCTATAGTTTGCCTTCAAACTGGTTCATGACCAGTAGATGACAGAGAGTAAGTCAATAAGTGAACCTGAAAAATTAAGCATCAAGATGCCAAGAGCAAGAGCAAGACGGCAGCTAATAATGATCTCTTGTTTTTACTGGGTATCTTTAAAGGAGGGAGTGGAACTCACCAAGCCAAATAGTTAAATGGAAATATGGTACTTCAACAAGTAATGGGAACAAAAGATGAAATCAATAATCAATACATAGCGCTATTGTCCAGAAATTTACATAAGAAAATCAAACCATATTTTTGTCTTTTATGTTACAATGTATAATTCTATATTATATAGGCACTTTTGTGTGTGTGTGTGTCCCTCCAATGAAGTTCATTCCTTCTGTTTTGACACAATGTTCATTTCATTGTAACATATTAATCACGCCTTCAGGATAATAAATGCCTAAGTAAAATTTATTTTGAAATCTCAGCTTCCAATTTAGGAAGTTCTTCTGCAATCTTTAACATTTCTAGATTGTCTGTAGGTATACATTGTCACACTTGAAGATTTTATGTCTGTAGATGAATTTCCATCATCTTCAAAACAATTAGTAAAAGAACAAATGGTGGTTGTTACTGAACTACATCTTTAGCACCGAGCTCTAATGCTTGAGTTTCTTTGCTCATAACTGTCAAATCATAGGTATCTGGGCTAATTTACAGGTGGACAAACGTATGCCTTGCTATCACCAAGAGGAAATTGTTCAGAAGTTGTAGGGGGGGGGGGGGGGGGGGTTCAGATGGAGAGATGTGCTACACCGATACCCAAAATAAGGTCTGTAACAAGTAATAAAAAACTCCACTAACTCATTGACTGCAACTCTGAATACCTGCTTCCCAAGGGGGAGAAGGGGAGCATTTTTAGTTTTTTTATAATCACAGCTAGCCAGAAATGCAGTTATTTTTACAATGCCCTTCTGGCCAATGCAGTCTGTACGAGAATGAAGAATCCAAAGAGAATGCCTTCACATCTCTGTGATTTTCATCATGGTTCAGTGTTTCTGAAGAGCTCAGTATTACAAAAGTGACACCAATGAGGTGCTGTGAGGTAAGAAATGCCTATACCACACTTCGTGCCATTCCTTTTATTTTCAGTCAGTCAAGCATCCCCATGGCGAGCAACGTGTTGATGCTTGCATGCTGAGCCATACGTTTGAAGATGGAATTTAATCAATGCAGGGTCAGTTGCTGGGCAGCAGCAATGCTTTGTGCTCAGTTCATGTTGCTCAACATCTTGGCAGACATACAGCTGTGTGTTTAATGTGTGGCTGACCACCTGTGCCCATTCGCGTGGCTTTGGGCCACATGGATGGAGCTACTGGTCAGCAAGAAGGAAGCAGAGCTGGGTTCGAACAAGGGGGGCCGCAGGGGGGGGCTGGGTGCTGCTTCTGGCTACCTAAGGGGGTGGTCAAGGGGAGACAGAGACAGGCTCCTGGCAGCAAAAGCATAAGAGGCCACCGGTGCCAGTGACTGCGAGGGAAATCCCTGACAGTGCCCTCCATCACTGACTGCCCACATTGCCCAACCAGGGTGCGGATATAGGGCAAGAGCATGCTTAGCCCTGGGAGTGAGCATCAGGCTGGGAAGCGAGCTTCTCCAGCTGTCCATTATTTACAATAACCATACTTAAAAACGTCACCTTTTTGTGCTTGTAAGGGTGGCAGTGGGGCCAGTCAGGCTGAATAATGGGATGGGCATTTGCTGGGGGCTAGTGCTGTGGTTCGATATGCTGCTGGGACTGGCAGGCTGGGAGCAGAGGAGGGCTGGCTCACCCCGTGGATCTTTAAACGCTGGCGCTGCAGACGCTCCATGGGATGAGCTGTGCGTGTGCCGGTCCTGCGTGGAGCGACTGTGCAGGGGGAAGGGAGACACTCTCAGCTGAACCTCAAACGTAAGTAGAGGGGGCAGGCTTGGGGAAGTGGGAGCCTGGGGAAAGTGCAGGGAAGCGGGAAGGGAGCCTTTGTCTCCTGCTTTGTTTTCTGAAGTGTGCTGTATGTATTTGTCTTTGAAGAAAGAAAAAATCTCAGAGAGTTTGTTTTCATTCGTTGAATTCTGATCACTATTTTGGGCAGCTGACTCAGATCTCCACAAAGGAAAATACGGGAGTTATGTGCCGTTCTGTCTAGATTTTTAAGATGGATTTGGAGTTTAGCTTGGTGGAAAAACCCTGGCTGTGCAGAAGCAGATGTAGCAGGTGATTGCTCATGCCAATACTTGTCTCATCATCATGATCTGGTTGATTGAACCTTACTGTGACACGATCATTAATGCTTGGAAAATTTTAATGGGAAGAGAAATATCAAGTGAAATCTTAAAGCAGATTTCAGAGTTGTTATCCGTTTGGAGTCAATTAATGTAAAGTGACCTAAATGGCATGCTGCATGGAGGTTTGTTGGTTGTTTATATGTATGTGTGACTTGGAATATTTGAAAACATTCATGGAGAAAAGAGGATTTGCTTGTGCATTGCAAGTAGGTTACAATGCAGAAAACTGTGATGCTGCCTAGATTGGAGGAATTAGTGTGCTACTGTTCTTAAGCCCCTTATATCTTATGTATCTGTGATCTCATAACCTAAAATGCACAGAATTTAGGATGAAAGATTTCCTACTCAATCTTTGATAACTTGACTGTACTCAATTAGTGAATCCAGCTCTGAGGTTTAAAGAAATATACCATGAAAACTGCCTTCTTTTTCTATCAATTATCACACAAGTTATAAGCGTCAGAGAAACTTCAGCATGGGGAGGGAAGCTGTGGATGCTATCTAATTCAACAAGTCTTTCTTCTAGAGTAAATCAGAAGGAAGGAAACTGGAGCAAGCTTTTTGTAGAGCCGTCTTGGCTTGAAGTGATATCTGGATAGCTAAATAATGGTTAAGTGTACAGGAGTTTGAGCCTGTAACTCCTAACTCAAAATCAAATCATTTAGGCTCATTGACTGTGTTCTGGCACCAACCGAGCTATTCCTTTCTAATTGATTTTGCTTTTTTAATCACATTTTTATTAGGGTGGCCACATGGGTTATGTATGCTGTTAAACTTTAGAGAAAGTTTCCTAGAAAATCCAAGTTTTTTTCCTGGCACTGTATATTCAGCATGTTTTGAACTACTTCACATTCTATGTTAGTTTTCTTGCCATAATGACAGCCTTGTAAAAAGATGAGTATGTGCACATACACCTCAGTAAGGACATCAAGAGATTTAAAGTTGACAATTTTTGATATTACTTGCCTACATTGCATCTAGGAATTTCAGAGGTTGCAAATTATTCCCTGCATGATGTCTTGTGTTTTCAGTGTGTCTGCCTGAACCCAGCATGTCTTGGCCAAGCAGGAGTTCAAGCAGGATTCATGAAAGTTGACTAATAGACAACTTACACATTGTACCCTATCAAAGCACTAGAAATAGATTTGTGAATTTTAGGTTTAGCCTGATAGCAAACCTTTTGAACTGATAGTTGTTATTTTGACATTTACCATACAAATTGGTAGAGTACTCTAAGGAGCTGTTAAGTTCAACAGACAAGAAAGACTGGAAGGCTTGAATGCTGGGTGAGTATTTATGCCTGATGCCCATGAATGTTTGCATGCTGCTATTGGCACAGCTGTGTTGCCAAAGAAATCCCTGGTCAGGTGAAATGAAGTCCATGCTGATTGGCTGTTAACGTGCATAACTTAAAAAGCTGAAGCTAGTTTAGAGTTGATAGAGTAGTGGGAAGGAGTACTACTGGGTGGAGTTCCTTTTTGTACTTGGTAAGTTAGTGTATGAAGAGGAACTTAATATCAGGTGAGGAGGAAATTTATTTGTTTTTGAATTATGGAGAGGGCAAAGTATTTCCATTGAATCTTTTGTAGACAATGATGCTTGTGATCAGTAAATTACGTACTTTGTTGTTGCATACCTAGTTTCTTATGTATCCGGTAACTTTTACCACAACATCTTTTTTCTTTTAAGTGAAAATTCTGCTAAAGTTCAAATAATGTAGTTTGTTGAACTTTTACTACGATGGAAGAACTTTCTTCATTACACAGAAGACTGAGTATTAGTAAATGAGTTAAAGGTGAAGGCAGCAGCAACAGAGAGCCCTTGGGTTAGTGGCACTGACTGGGAAAGATCTTGTGACAATGCTGCAGGTTAGTACCAGTCAGTCACTTCTAAAGAAGCTGACAAGGAAAGGCAGCTTGCCTTGTACGCCAGTGGGTTGCCAGATGTGCCTGCAGTCTCTCCTCAGCAGTGCATAAGGGGGCAGAATGATGGTGTTCTAGATAACGTATCGAGACTTTTAGATAACCCATTTGCAATGGAACTGTTATCGTGTTCCCTGATAAATGCTATGAAATAGCTTAATAATGTTATTCTTAGCTCAGTGGTTGTTGTGAACGTAACCTGATCACAAAGAAAAAGCAAACTAAATACAGAAATCAACTGCTTTTGTGGAATTGAGTGGACTGAAAAGGTTTAGTATAGGCTCAAACTTGAGGTACGAGCAACACTTTGCTAGAATTTCTGTCATTTGTTTGTTTTGGGAGACTGCTGCATATCAGTTCACTAGCTGGCTTATGCACTCTTTAAAAATATAGGTTCAGAAGGAGCTGTTTTTTATCTGAGATAAGGGGGACGACGCTACAAGAAATCTGTGCGGACTTTCTGTGGCTTTCTGATTCAATGCAGAAAACAAGCTTACACCTAACCAACTTGATGGCTTTTTTTTTTTTTTTTTCTTTTTTTTTTTTTTTTCTTCCTTCTCTCAGCTCATAAGAGAAAGCTGGCTTGTACTGAGATTTTCTCTTCTGTAGCTTCTTACAGTGTTTCAAACCAAAATTGCAAAGGGGATACATCAGTTATTTCAAATGTAATCCATATCTAGGGATAATTATGCAGACAAGAAGATTGTGTCCCAGTATGGGTGTGCTAAAACTTTCATTACGTATTGTAGGGTCTTGAAAAGTAGTCTGTGAAAGCTGTTTAGAGAAAAAAATAATTCTCAACATAGTTGAAACAAGGGACTACATTGGATCTACTATTCTGTTGTCCTGATGCTTCTTCAGATCCCGGTGAAGTCGCTTACCTTTATGAGAGATGTCGTTGCTTCCTCCAAAGCTAGTGATGTTGGGAGATAACTAAGTTTTTTTGAGACATAGAGAAGTCACTTCTAATATTCCCACCAAATGTAGTATTATTTATAAGACTCTGAGTCCCTGGGTTGCTGTAATTGCTCTCTAATTATGTCCATATCACAGTTTCTTATCAGTTTGTCATTGCTGCTCAAATCTTCCCTTGAAATATTCTTCAGTACTGTAGTAACTTGTTAATCTCAAATACATTTGCCAGTTACAATTGTTCTTATGAGTAAGTTTATTTTTCTAGCATTGCCACTCTACGA